CTTCAGCTTCAGGATCTGTCCTTCCAGTGAGCGAGGACTCAGGGTTGATTTCCTTCAGAATGGATAGGTTTCATCTCCTTGCAGTCCAAGGGACTCTCAAGGGTCTCCTCTAGCATCAAAATTCAAAAGCATCAATTCTTCGGCAGTCAGCCTTCCTTATGGTCCAGCTCTCACTTCCTTACATCGCTACTGGAAAAAACCATATTTTTGACTATGCGGACGTTTGTTGGCAAGGTGATGTCTCTGCTTTTTAAGATGCTGTCTAGGTTTGTCATCTCTTTCCTCCCAAGAAACAGGAGTCTTTTAATTTTGTGGCTGCTGTCATGATATGCAGTGATCAGGGAGCCAAAGAAAGTAAAACCTGTTACTGCCACCATATCTTCCCCTTCTATTTGCCGGGAGCTGATGGGACCAGTGGCCATGATCTTAGTTTTTTTCATGCGGAGCTTCAGACCATTTTTTGCGCTGTCCTCTTTCACCCTCATTACGAGGTTCTTTAATTCCTCCTCAGTTTCTGCCAGCAGAGTGGTATCATCTGCAAATCGGAGGTTGTTGATATTTCTTCCGGCAATCTTAATTCTGGCTTGGGATTCCTCCAGTCCTGCCTTTCCCATGATGTATTCCGCACATAAGTTTAAAAAGAAGAGAGACAATATGCAGCCTTGTTGTACTCCTTTCCCAATTTGTGAACCAATCAGTTGTTCCATATCCAGTTCTAACTGTTGCTTCCATTTCCACATACAGATTTCTCATGAGATAGATAAGGTGGTCATGCACTCCCATTTCTTTAAGGACTTGCCATAGTTTGCTGTGGTCCACACAGTCAAAGGCTTTTGCGTAGTCAATGAAGCAGATGTAGATGTTTTTCTGGAACTATCTGGCTTTCTCCATAATACAGTGCATGTTAGCAATTTGATCTCTAGTTCCTCTGCCCCTTTGAAATCCCGCTTGTACTTCTGGATAATTCTGTGTGTCCCATTTAATTGATTCCAATTTATGGTGGCTATCCCAGAGTTTTAGCCTTTTGTTTCTGATCATGGGGCATTCTTGGCAAAGATACTGGAGTGGCATTGCCAATATCTACTCCAGATGGATTGCGTTTAGTCGGAACTCTCCACTATGTCCTGTCCGTCTTGGGTGTCCCTGTACGGCATAGCCCATAGCTTCCCTGAGTTACTCAAGCTGCTTCGCCACGACAAGGCTGCAATCCCTGAAGGACACATCCTGAAGCTGAGGCTCCAATACTTTGGCCATCTCATGAGACTCCTTGGAAAAGACCTTGATGTTAGGAAAGTGTGAAGGCAAGAGGAGAATGGGACGACAGAGGATGAGATGGTTGGACAGTGTCATCGAAGCTACCAGAATGAATTTTACACAACTCCGGGGGGCAGTGGAAAATAGGAGGGCCCGGTGTGCTCTGGTCCATGGGGTCATGAAGAGTTGGACACGACTAAACGACAATCCCAGAGTTTTATAAGTATAAAGTATTCATAAGTATTTTGTTGGTCCTGCCTCTATTAGTCCTCTATTAGCTTGCCCAGTGCCACACAAGTGGCAGGACACATAGCCTCACCAACCACGTTTGTTCTGGGTGATTTCAGCTAGCCCCTCTCCTGAAATCTCTGGCCCCCAGTCTGCCCAACCCACTGAGCTGCATCAGCTCATGAGGATGTTTCTGCCTAGCTTCAAACCTGGCCTTTTTATATGTGGGCAGGTTTAAAAGTCATCCAGTATTTGGTAAATACTTGGTAAATCAAATGAAAAATGAAGACACAGTGTCAATGCTGCTGAGTAAATATACATAGGATCAGTCTTCTTAGTTCTTGATGGGTCAACTTTCTTTTAGCACAAACTTTTATAACTGACAAGCTACTTTCTCAAATGTGTCAAATGAAGGAAAAAGCAGTAGCTAATCTAAATCTGATAACAC